AATTTGATAATTTTATCTAAATATAGATCTTCATGCCAATATTTGTTGAACTTTTGAAATTCAAGTAGAATTATTTTAGATTTATGAAATTATATTAAATATTATCAATCATATATTTTTTTGAACTTGAATAGATATAAAAAAGGAATACATTAATTTAGAATACTCGAAAAAGGACATGTGTCACAATTTGAAACATACACAAAATGACATGTGGCATTCAAATGACTACATATTAAAATAATTCTTGCTTAGTTAATTTAATAACTTTCACACAATCTCTCACTAAAAAAAAATTTATATATGAGATTAATTTCAATAATAAAAATAACTTTCAAAATTTGAATTATATTTAGTATAAATAATTATTATAAGTGAATTCAAAATTTAAAATTGAATCCATCTTTAAAATTCAAGTTAATACATCTTCAAATTAAATTAGATAAAATTTGATTACATAAAATAAGATGTTAATCTATCAATATAAATATTTGAAATTATATTTTAAAGTAAATTTAGATATATATTGTAACCACCCTTCTAGTTTATTTATACATATTTAAAAATTTAGCTCAAATCTATTTACAAACTAACAATAAAACCTAATTTTTTAAGCACAAAATCATATAAGAGATGCACATAAAGCTATTAATATGAGTTGACCTGATTTTTATAAGCTTGACCGTTAAGGACTCAAGCTCATAAACTAACTTTTTCTAAAATAAGTATTTTTTTTCAAATCTAACTTTTATTGATAGGATTTAGGGATAAGCTTGAAGGCTCATATAATTTTTTTATTTTTTAAAAATAAAAAAATCATACTAATATATATATATATAATAAAATACCTCAATTAAATATCTAAAAGACAATAATAAATTTTTAAGTATAATTAAAATAATACAAACCTTAGAATATAATATAAACTATATAAGTCCTAACTCTCTATCATCCAAAATGTAAATATAGTATTAAAATATTTTGATAGAAATATATTTTTAACTAAAACTGTTAATATGATGTGAAATTAATTAGTTACAATTTAACATATATTCTAAATTTAACTGAAAATATTTTTTATTTTGATATGAATTATAGAGTTACATCCAAAAACTGTTATTGTTGACTTTAAAAAAATCATATAATATTGAATACATAAAATAAAAATATATAAACAGAAAAAAGCTATTTTTATTTATAATAAAAATAAATAAATTCAATTATGAAAAATATATCTTAAGAAAATAATTTTTTTTAAAAAATATAATTTTAAAACAAAAATTCACGTTTAAAAATAAAATAAAAAATTAAATTGAAAATACTTTTCAAAAGCTGGTTAAAAAATAATTAAATTTAAAAATAATATATTGTAATATCTAAAACAAAAAATATAAATAATATAAATAAAACATTTAAAAATCTTAATTGATTAGAATTAATATTTACATTTAAATTGATTTATATAATATATTTTGTGTTTTATAAAAAATCCAAATTTATATAATTTTCGTATCCATTTACATTGATTAAAATAAATAGATTTATATAATTTATAATTTTCATATCCCATTCACATTTATTCAGTAAATTTGAATTCTAATATATTTGCATATATATATATATATATATATATTTGATCACATGAACCTAGATTTTTGGCATATCTTTAGAGTAGATAGAAACTTTAAATAGATAGATATTAGTTTAAATTCAAATATAATGAGATTTGAATTTCAAATAGGTAAAAATAATTTATATATATATATATATATATATCTAAAAATTAATAAGTTATCCCACACCTAGCTGTAAACCTGAATAACATATTTTATATATATTAAAAAAATAATAATTAGCCAAACCTAACCCCAAACCTAACTCCAAAGCATGAAATCACAGGAAAGACATTTCGAAGTACAGAATTGTAGCAAACCTAAAAATAGATACATGACATTCTCTCATAATTTTTAACCCTACTTTTATATATATAATGATTCTCTTAAATACAGCTCAATCCTACTAAAGAGGGCCTAATTACCTTTGGTTGGATATAAATAATAATTCCTTTTATAGATATAACTCATGTTATAAAATTAAATTAAGCAAACAATTTAATATTTATTATATTTTGTATTATAACCATTTTATTATATTTGTTAATAATATACTGTTTTATATTAATGATAAACCCTTTGTAAATTTTTAAATTTTTAATGATAAAATACTTATATATTAATGATAATTCTCTTATATATCGATGTAAACTAGTTGCACTATCAAATTTTAAAAAATTTAGTCTATAATTTTTTAGTAAATGATTTTTTTTACCAGCGAACCAATTTATGTTAAATATTATAAGTTTATTTTCTTGCCATATTTTGCCATTTGTCATGCATAATAAAGAGGAAATTATCAATGTGACTTATTTTTTGACAAATTTCCAAATTCTTATAGAAATCTTTGGATAAATATTTTCATACAAAATTTCATAAAATAATTGCATGGCCGGAAAAAATATAACTTTTTCTCATATAGCAAGAGACTGCGAAGATATGTAAGTTTGAAGACAAAGACAGATACAAAAATATGTTTAACTATTTTTTATCTTTCTAGTTGTTTTTGACCAAAAATACTTTTAAAAAATATTGTGTGTACCTCATGATCACCTGTATTGGAGAATTAAAATTAGGAACAGTAAAATTGATGTAGATAGCATGTCCGTGATTTCAGTCAAAATACTGACTATGATAGAAGTAATATATTTTATGAACAAAGCACAGAGTTCTCAGGCAAATTATAGTTAAAAAAATAATACAAGGCTCTGGAATCTAGATCGAGTTTGAACTTTGAACATTGAATCATATCACTTTTTTTAACTAACCCAATATAATATAATTATATATAGAGTTGACTAAGTCATCGATATGTGGAATACACATTTCATATTTGACTAATGCACGAAATATGTTTAGAGATCTCTCACTCTCACAACACAATATGAATAGATAAAGAGATATGGAAAGATTACATCACATAGATTATTTTTATTTTATGTTTATTTTTAAAAATCTCAAATTTAACAAAATTAAAGCTAAAAATCTAAATTAAACTTAAACAATCTAAATTCTATTACTGGCGTGATATTTAATTACTGTTTGATTGATCGAAGCTTATTGCTATGATTGAATTGATCAAGTAGAAAGAATTTAATATCTGAGAAGCAAAATTATATGTTCAATGCTTATGCACGTAAAAAAATTAATATCTCATATAGTCAATATTATAATTAAAAAAGAACAGGATCAAGTTGCAATATTAAATAGTAATATTATATAATTGAAAGCAAGAACTGTTCAATGAGGAAAAATTATTAAAACAAAGGTATCAGATTATAATTTGAAAGTAACTCGTGTGATTTAATATTGAAATTTGAAAGCTTGGCTTTGTTTCTATTTTCTTTTTTAACATAAATACGTTGAACATAATATTTTCTTCCGAAGAATTTTCGACAACGTTCAATAAATATTTGCTGAGTAATATTCAAACTCAATCCTAGTAATCAAATAAAAAGTTAAAAAGTGAAAAGAAAAGTAAACATAAAAAAAACAAACCGCACCTTACTGGAATAGTTGACCTAATTTTTTCCATTTTTTTATTTACTTAATTAATTATTCAAGAAAGTTAAAATATATGAAGTTGCAATCAAATTTTCTTTCTTATTCTTACAATGCATATGAAATTTCTTGTTGGTGGTTTTAACCCAAAACCAACAAATCATTGTAAGTTAATTTTTTTCTAAATCAAACCACACAGGTAAGTTGATAGAGTTTTTATAATTAAGTTTAATAAATAAAATACACCAAACAATCAATAATTCAAAAACCATTGAGTTAACACATGTTGGTTGGGTTAATCGGAAGGGATTATTTTTTGGGAAAAATTATAAACAGGGACCTAAAAAAATTAATAATAACCATTGAGGATCATCTTGAAATTGAATTCAAGTAATAGGATCTTTTTCTGCAATTTACAAAATATTGTTATGACCAAAATACCCTTAAAAATAGGTGACAAAATGTGCATTTTAAATATAAGTGTTTTAGTTTAAAATACAAAAAAAGGAACTATATTGCTAAGAGTTTGGTTGATAATACAGTAAAATGATATCATGTAATTCACATGAACTACTTTACCTAATGTGATAAAACTTGTTATTGTTGTACAAAAACGGGCTATAATTGTGAAATACAATTTCAAATATTTTGTAATTCTAAATGATTATTACTGCTTTTCATAGGTCCTTAATTATAATTTTTCCTTATTTTTTGAAAGCTAAGGTCATGAGTACAAATCATGTAGATGGAGAAAATCGCATTGGGAGATTAATATATTAAATATTACATGAAAATAATTCAAAAACCATCTAACATTAACCACTTTTTAAAAGGTTTCAGGTATATTAAATTACATTGCAACAGAAAAAAAGGTATATTAAATTATTTTGACGGCTATATTATTACACGGTGAAGTATAATATCTTAAGGGAGGCAAAACATGACATACTAAACCAGTCACACACCAGGACCACTGCTAATATGTTTAGTTGAATTGGCCAAAAAGAAAAAAAAAACAATAAACGATGTTTAGTTGAACGTTGTAAAACATTTGGGAAGATTTAACTCTATTTAAGCTTAATAATGCTTAAATTTAGATTAATTAGTGGAATTGCAAATATCATATAGTTATATAACCATGTTTACTGCTTAGACATAGATCACTTGTAGATTGCTTCGGTTGGTCTTATTAATTATATTTGATCCAAAACTAGCAAGTAATTCTAAGTTAGATTTTCTTTTTTAAAATAATTGTTTTGAAGTAGAGAATGCCAGGTATCATCGATTTTTTAAAATAAAGCGAAGGGACCAAGAAGGTGTGGCATGGACTGTAGGTTGTCTGGGTCTTTTAAGTACGTGACCAGGATTCAATTCATGAGCAGTATGTATGGAAAAACATTTATTGGAAAGAATCAGCCCCTTAAATGGAATCCCAGTACCTTGAGGAATTAGTTTCAGGGACTCCCATTGGGGATACACCATTGTCTTACAACTGCTAAACCACTCACATACCAGTACCACTGCTAAAACATATACCAATGCCAAAATGGCTAATAAATAGAAAATCGAAATTGGAACTCATAGTCATGTAATAATCTCTCCAGTCTCAAATGGAAGGACCATGAGTTGACAATACGAAGAAAATAGGCAAGAACAGGGAAAGAAGCAAGGATCCAGATGAAACGGAAAGCATAGAAGATACAGCAGAGTTGCCCAGAGATGATGATGATGATGATGCTGCAACAAAACAGTTGATGATTCACTCGGATATAAAGGCATGTTAGAAGTATTTCTTTGTTTTATGCGGATCACTTCTAATATATATGTTTATTTTTATGATTGATTCATGTATACCTAAGAATCTCAGTCTCTAGTAAGATCAAAACAAAAGGATTCTTTAGAATTTCTCAAGTATAATCTGTAAATGAAGTCTGTCATAGAAATACATCGAGACAATGCAACATAGAAACTAGTTTTATTTTAAAAACATGACTGAAAACTCACATTCTTTTAACAATCAACTCAGATTATTGGCATTATTTTGGGTTCCTTTCAATGATTGACTTAATTTTTTGTCTCACTTCATCATAAAAATATATCAGATGTGCACAAATATTATGAATGTAATTCTATCTTGTCCCTTCTCATGTAAAACTATATAATCTTACACAGTGTTACCCTGAAATTGAATAAAGAATTGTTCAGAAACTTGAATAACAACAGAAGTAGTAGAAAATCAAGCATCTACAAACCTGAAGGAGGTGGCGAAATTGGATGGCTTGGTAATTTTAATCCAGGATTATTGTGGAAACTGTAAAGTGGAACATGATAATTGGCAAAATGTTTACATGTGATCCTACAAATGTAGCCATGAAAGTAAACAAAATTATTTGTACCAACCTCGAGGTAGTAAAAGCTGAAAAAGAACCATTGACTGGGATATCTCCTGTTAACTGATTGCTTGACAAGTCACTAAGTTTCACAATGATCATACTGTCAGGATACAATCTTTAAAAAATTTAAGAAGATACAACTAAATATCTAAATTTGCATTAGCTTATGGAAAACTAGCTTGTAGGAGTAACACACAGGACTTGCAGAGAGAAAATGGTAGTCAGAGTCATGGGAATGCTTCCTGACAAGCTGTTGTTGTTCAGACGCCTGTTTCAGAGGGCACAAAGGATCAATATTTTTTGACAATGAACTAATGGAACAGTGCAGAGCATAATATTAGAGCTGGAAATGAATAAAATGGAAAATCACATTAGGATTTAACAAACACAGCAGAAACCCTCATCATCAACTTCAAATGATTAAGCATTCATTCAATAATAATCATTGTTGTAATTAAATGAGCTTAACACTATAAAAACAAGCAAATGAAATGTGTAGATCAAAGAGATTAAGGAAAGCATGACTTACAGAAAGCGAAGCCTTGGAAGGTTGCCCAATGTGTCTGGGATGGGACCATTTAATCTGTTCAAGTAAAGATCCAAGCTCACCAAGTTTGTCAAATTTCCAAGCTCGTCTGGAATTGTTCCTGTTAGATTATTGCCGTAAACTTCCCTGCAGTACAAAACAACAAAAGTTAGCCATTAGAAAACCATATTCAAAACATCAGAAACCATAGCATGCAAAGGATTGAACCCTTGAAATCTACCAGTAGTGGATGGTTCCAGGTTGTGAAATTTGAAACAAACAAGCAGATAGCATTTGCTTAAGATTTGAGAAACACAGCTATTGTTGCTTGCACTGGTATCAAAACGATTAACTCTAGTTTATTTAGGGTGCTCAAATCATTCATTAAAACAACCCAAGATTTTGTACATCAGAAGCCAGAAGTAGACATAGATGATTAAGGATCAGAAACTTATCTGACTTATCTTCAGGACAATAAAGAGGACAAAAAGAGAATGCTTCATCATAACAAGTCGTTATTAAGAGGTGAGTCTAGGTGGTCTTGAAATCTCAGGAAATTACACCGGAAGTTTTAAGCTTCTGTTAGTGAATTAAGAAATATGTTTATAGCCAGCCTACTGAACTAGCAGTATTGTCAATAAGACCATCTTTCAAGAAGCTACTGAAGAAGAACAGAAAAGAATAGCAATAAGAAACATTTCTTAAACAACATATTAGTATCAGAAAAACGAGGCAAATCAAGTCACCAATAAATCAAATTCTCAACTCACAAGTACTGCAAATTAGAAAGTTGACCGAGTTGTGGAACAAGTTGACCTGAAAGGTATGCATTTGCAAGATCACTGTGACCAAAAAAAAAAAAAAACACAAATTAATTAAACTGTGTGCAGCAATAATCTTAATTGATTAAGGTCAAAAGCACATAAGTTACTTACACACGGGTCACGCTATTGTCACTGTTGCAAGTAACATTATACCAAGTGCAGGGATTTGCAAGGGTAGCATCCCAACTTTGGAGAGCATTATAAGGATCAGCCAAGTTGATCCTCCATGCATGCAGCGCATCACCTGTCTTAGAGAAAAGCAAATTTTAGGCGACACCATACTTAATATCTAATCATGCTTTGTCTTATACAAGGTAAACACAACCACAAGTTACATCTATTTATGGGAACAAAGAAATGTAAACAATGAAAAAAGAAACATGAAGGCCAGCTTGCTAGAGATCATCCACAAAAAATTAGAATCAACTATACCCTCTAGGCCCAAACTACAAACCAGCAGTAAAAATGAAAAGAAATTTAAAATTGAACTTGCCACTTTGTGATCAAGGAAACACAGTACGAACGCAAGCTGAAATATTTCCCAAAATGAAAGCCTGGTCATTAGTATTTCCTATGGTCCATTAGATTTGGATACAATGAGTGGCCTAAATTTACTCTCTCACTAAGTTTCCAAATTATAACTATTAGATTTCATCAATACTTGAAAATTATTACAGTTCCTCCTAATTTCCTTTCAAAAATTCAAAACAACCCTTAAATCAGGACCCTCCTTATGTATGCCCTCCCCTCCAAAAATTTGAGATTTGGTGCTTTATGACAAACTCTTTGAGAGCGGTTTGATTAAATCAAACTGTTGTTATCATATCATGTGGGACATTTATTGAGTGAGTGAATTCATGCCACTCCGGATCCAAATCTTTATCAGTACTAGTAGTATTTATGACTTAACCCAGAATTAAGCAACAACGTCTGCAACGAAGCTCATTTAAAGCATGGATTCAATATTGGGAACAAGATATTTCTGAAGTAGTAATTAAAACCCCCATAGAGTATTTTGAAAAGTCATGACTCACCTTCCACATTGCCAGAAACATTCAGCACCAAACCAAACGCTGAAATCGCCAGAAGAAGAAGAAACGAACCCATCGCAGGCGAAGTCACTGGCTTCGCATCTCCGATCTTCTTTCGCTACATTTCCGAGAGCTTCAGCTATGTTATATACACTAAATTGGTATATAATAGCGTATATTTTTGTCTTTGGAAGAATTGAGAACGTCGATTCGTCTTCCATTGCTGCGGAATATTCAAATTTCAAAGTCAGCCTTCATAAGAATTGACTCTGTCCTTTGGGTTAAAAAAAATTATTAAGACTCGACTTTGGCCCCACTTGGCGGAGATGCAAGAGTAGAAATGAAGAAAAAAGTATGTTGTGCTGCTGAAGAAAAAAGTAATAACTTTAAACTGATAGACAGCAGAAAAATACAAAAGGCTCCTTAGATCAGTTTGTTGTACTGCCAGGCATGTTTGTATTAAAGGAGTTTCAACTTTCAACGCACAAACTAAGGCTATGTTTGGTAGGTTGGAATTGTGAAGATGGAAATGGAATTGAGATAGGAATCTGAATAAAGTGATGTTTGGTAGTTATGAATTATAATTCTTGGGAATCCTAATTCTATGGAAAAAAGCTGAATTGAATTCCTTATATAAATCTATGGAATTGGGAGCAATTCTATAGAATTGTAATATTTAAGACACTTTTGCCCTCATACAAATTCCAAAAAGACAAATTTGCCCTCAAAAAAAAAATAAAACCCTCACCTCACTCACACTCACGCTTGGTCGCGGCAGAGCGAGAGAAAGCAAGATTTGTTGCAGACTGAGAGAAGGCGAGAGCTGTGGTGAGATCGAAGACGAGCCGGACGACGAACGACGCGATCTGGACAAATATTTTGGATTTCGCGACCAAGGTATGGGTATCAATCGACTTCCCTCCTCCATTCTTTTTCATCCGTGATTTTATATCCTTCGGCCGCCTCCCCTGTCTAAGCTAGGTTCTTTTCTGGGTATCAATCGAAGCTATGAAGCTAGGTTTGAAACTTGAAAGTTGTTTTTCCACCCTGATATACATATAGTGACAAATAAATAGAATATTTTAAATATTAGTGGGACTTCAGGTTGTCATAGGCTTCGGTTTGATGCAGAGACATCGTCTTGATTATATTTAACATTAACTAGACTGCATTATTGAGGGAACCCGTTATTGTACATAGATGTTTCAAGTGTGTATATTTTGGAGATCTCGCAAGCTTTTCACAAGCTGTACATTCTGAAGTCTGCCTATGCAGACCTTTCTCTTCTCCTCTTTTGGGGGCTCTAGTCACGGATCCTTATCCTTTCATCCCTTCTTTCCCTTATTTTTTTGCTGAATCTTTGAATTTTGTTTCTTCTCTTGTGCCTTGCATCCTATAACTCATGTGTGAGTTGTCTTATCCTTTCATCCTTTGTAGATATTCCCGTTACAAATAAAAAAACAAATAGACTTGTCAATAGTTTGACCATAGATGCAACTATACTCTTCCCAAATAACCTGCTCTACACTGTACATCTGTTTTGCTCCTATTGGTACGTTATCCTCAATGGTTATAGTTAATTAGAATTAAACAAATCAAATGCCACGAAATTGCTTCCCAGTGGGTGAATTGTCTAGTTATTTATTCTTATTAGGCTACACATAATATAAATCAAACAGACTTTATCAATGAAGTCCAGAAGTACGTAAATGCTTTAATGATTCACTAGTATGGGTTTAACTCGAAGGAATATTGAGGGTAAGACCATAATGACAGCATGAAGGCTGAAAGAGCATTCATTAATTCCTTGTCTCATCGTGTCATCAAATTTCTGTAGATTCACAAAGTATGCATGCAGTATAGGCAAAAAGAATATTAAACTCTGAAATAAAGGACACTGGATGTGCCCTGGTATGATACTCTTGAGCTGGGAACTTTGGGAGCCGATTAGCCATATACATTGCTGCTTCTAAGTATGACTCATTCCTTCTCGTTGTCCCTTCCTTTTCCAAAAACTGAATGGCCATAGTCTGCTATGCTTCCCAAGTTCCTCTGTTTTCGGTCTCCAGCTTCCATTTCTCAGATTGAAGCTGTACAAGGGCAGGAATCTCTGGCCATAGTCTGCTATAAACTCCATGGCTCTTAGTATGAACTCAAAATCCTCTTTGCTCATGTAATAAGGAAAACTGACTCTGGTCCATCCAGGTTTGACGCTAACATAACCTTATTCGTGGTATTCAACATTTTTCTTTACCAACAATGTGTGTTTAATTTAAAATGATTTACTAGAGTTTCATGATTTTCTAGTCTATTAAATATGGGCTTTATGTTAGAATTTTATACTGTTTTTGTTGCCTATAGAATTTTATACTGTTTCTAGTCTATTGAAGTGATATTTATTGGATGTTTTAGAATTTTTTATCCTGATATTTTAAAATTTATAACCTACAGTTATGGATCCAAAAATGAGAGATGTGATAGTTCATTTGATGATTTGGTGGATGTATGTTCTTCACTCTATGTATCAATTTTTCTTTGCCATTTGTACCACTATAGCCTTGCGTAGGAATCGCATTAGTCGAAGGCCATATACGGTAGACTTCTATGCTAATAGAGTCTACTTACGAAACTTGGTGTATAACAGTGACATTACTTGTTATAACCAGCTTAGAATGAATAGAGCCACATTCGACAAGCTATGTCTTATGCTTGATGTCATAGGAGGTTTGAAACCAACCAAAAACATGCTAGTTGATGAGCAAGTGGCAATGTTCTTACATATCCTTGCACATCATTTAAAAAATAGAGTTATACGATTTTATTTTGGGAGGTCTAGTGAAACTATTAGTAGGTATTTTAATTTGGTCTTAACTTCTATGATGAAACTGAATCGAGAGCTCCTAAAGAAACCTAAGCCAATTGCTAAGGATTCAATAGACGAAAAATGGAGGTGGTTTAAGGTAATCTCATATCTTAATTCATAACTTTTATTAATGATATAATTTATCTATTCTTTTAATTAATTATTTGTTATTTTCAGCATTGTTTAGATGCTCTTGATGGAACCCATATTAAAATGAAGGTGCCTATGGCTGACAAAGCGAGATATAGAAATCGAAAGGGGGAAATAACTACTAATGTGTTGGGAGTTTGCTCTCTGGATGGACAATTCATATATGTCTTAACGGGTTGGGAAGGCTCAACAGCTGATGGTAGAGTTTTGCGAGATGCTATTAGTCGTAGGAATGGTTTGAAAGTGCCTCAAGGTAATGTTAATTTATTTTTAAGTAATGATCAATGTAGTAATGAGCTTAAAGTTAATTTCTTTTATTCTTGTAGGCCAATATTACTTGGTTGATGCGGGGTATGCAAATTGTGAAGGATTTCTTGCCCCATTTCGAGGTCAGCGATACCACTTAAGTGAGTGAAGGGATGGACGGCAGCCTTTAACTCCACGTGAGTGCTTCAACATGAGGCATTCATCTGCGCGTAATGTTATTGAACGATGTTTTGGAATGTTGAAACTACGATGGGCTATTCTTAGGAGTCCTTCATTCTACCCTGCTCAAGTCCATAATCGGGTCATCATAGCGTGTTGTCTCCTTCATAATTTGATCCGTCGACAAGGAGATGATCCACTGGATATTGAGATAGAGGCATTGGAGACAACTACCAATGATATGGAGATACCTTATATTCAAACAATTGAGACATCAAATGCATGGGCTAACTTTCGTGATACCTTGGCAAATGAAATTTTTGTTGAACTTATGAGTCATAGGGGTAGTATGTGAGCATTAGAAGAGACACCTAAATCTAGATGTGACTTGAATTCTAGTTGAATATTTGTGGATGTATGTTTTGTGTAATGACAACATTATAAATGGTTTTATTAGGTGATGTTTTCCTTCTTTGCAATATTGTGATGTATGAGATTTTATCTTCATAGCAATTGATTGTGTTATGGTATGTTAAAACTAATGATAATTTTTACTGTTTAAGTAAGATCATGACAGGTGGCGATTCCATAAAGTCAACCCATCATGTCTGGACACCTGAGGAAGACTCTCTTCTTGTGCAATCCTTGCTTCAGCTTCGTGATGATGGGACCTTGGTTGCAGATAATGGGTTTAAGGCTGGAGGTTTAAAGAAGTTGCAAAGAATGATAGAGGAGAAGTCACCTGGATGTGGGATACTAGCTGTACCTCACATTCAATCTCGTTTGAAGACCTTGAAGACTAGTTGGCAGGTCATATATGATATGTTATATGGCTCAAACACATCTGGATTTGGTTGGGACCCTGACAAACAATGTGTCACAGCAGACAAGGAAGTGTGGGATGAGTATGTTAAGGTAAAACTTTACAAGAAAAATATTTTTTATTTTAGCTTTATACTTATAATAAATATTGATGCAGATTTGAATTTGTAAGCTTACTAGCTATTGATATTTTTATGTGATTTTATGTTTGTAGAGCCATAAAAAAGCTGCTCATTTCAAGAACAAACCCTTTCCTCTCTTTGATGCACTATGCTCTATATTTGGAAAAGATAGAGCTGTAGGAAAAGGGTCACTTTCAAGCAATGATATGCATGAGGTTGAAGCTTATACAGAGTTTGATACAATAGCTGCTAATGTTGATGAAGATACTGTGGATATTGGACTAGAGATGGATCCATCAATTACATTCTCTGACCATCCATCAGAAAACACAAATGTTGGCACTTCTAAGTCTAAGAAAAGGAAAAGAACTAGTCAAGATCGTGATGAGTTTTTGACTGAGGCACTTAAAGAGATGTTAGCAGCTACTTCCCAAGACATCAAGGATTCCTCTGCCCAATTAAGAGCTCGTTTAGACAAGTTGGCTCGAGAAGCAATGTTAGATGCACGAAGAGAGGCTCTATATGATGAGTTGTTGAAGGTTGAAGATCTTACTGACAATGAGCGCACTGATGCATATCTTAAAATGATAGGTGATGATAAAATTCTTGTTGGATTTCCTAACCTACCAGATAAGGCTAAGGCAGCTGTGGTTCGCAAAATACTTTATGCATAAATGTGTTATGTATGCTGCTTCTTTTTGGGTATTATAGTGTAGCTAAGTCTACATTGTAAACCATGATGGATATATTTTTTTGGCTCTGTCATGGTTGGTAGCCTTTTTGATTACATAGTTGTGGCTGCCTTATATATAGGAAGTCTGATTGTAAAGTGCTCAAGTCTACTTCTTTAGTTCATTTTTTGGTTTTGCCATGGTAGGTAAATTGTGCATTGGAAGATATGGCAAAAAAA